AGCGCGGGAACGAGAGCGAGTAAGACCTGTGATCGGCCAGCGCAGCGCGGGAACGAGACGAGTAAGACCAGTGATCGGCCAGCGCGGCGCGGGAACGAGGCAAGTAAGACCTGTGATCGGCCAGTGCAGCGCGGGAACGAGGCGAGTAAGACCTGTGATCGGCCAGCGCAGCACGGGAACGAGGCGAGTAAGACCTGTGATCGGCCAGCGCAGCGCGGGAACGAGGCGAGTAAGACCTGTGATCGGCCAGCGCAGCGCGCGAACGAGACGAGTAAGACCTGTGATCGGCCAGCGCGGCGCAGGAACGAGGCGAGTAAGACCTGTGATCGGCCAGCGCAGCGCGGGAACGAGGCGAGTAAGACCTGTGATCGGCCAGCGCAGCGCGGGAACGAGGCGTAAGACCTGTGATCGGCCAGCGCGCGCGGAACGAGGCGAGTAAGACCTGTGATCGGCCAGCGCAGCGCGGGAACGAGGCGAGAAGACCTGTGATCGGCCAGCGCAGCGCGGGAACGAGACAGTTTAAAACCTGTTGATCGGCCAGCGCAGCGCGGGAACGAGGCGAGTAAGACCTGTGATCGGCCAGCGCAGCGCGGAACGAGCGAGTAAAGACCTGTTGATGGGCCAGCGCAGCGCGGGAACGAGGCGAGTAAGACCTGTTGATGGGCCAGCGCAGCGCGGGAACGAGGCGAGTAAGACCTGTTGATGGGCCAGCGCAGCGCGGGAACGAGGCGAGTAAGACCTGTGATGGGCCAGCGCAGCGCGGGAACGAGGCGAGTAAGACCTGTGATCGGCCAGCGCAGCACGGGAACGAGGCGAGTAAGACCTGTGATCGGCCAGCGCAGCGCGGGAACGAGGCGAGTAAGACCTGTGATCGGCCAGCGCAGCGCGCGAACGAGACGAGTAAGACCTGTGATCGGCCAGCGCGGCGCAGGAACGAGGCGAGTAAGACCTGTGATCGGCCAGTGCAGCGCGGGAACGAGGCGAGTAAGACCTGTGATCGGCCAGCGCAGCGCGGGAACGAGGCGAGTAAGACCTGTGATCGGCCAGCGCAGCGCGGGAACGAGGCGAGTAAGACCTGTGATCGGCCAGCGCAGCGCGGGAACGAGGCGAGTAAGACCTGTGATCGGCCAGCGCAGCGCGGAACGAGGACGAGTAAGACCTGTGATCGGCCAGCGCAGCGCGGGAACGAGGCGAGTAAGACCTGTGATCGGCCAGCGCAGCGCGGGAACGAGGCGAGTAAAACCTGTTGATGGGCCAGCGCAGCGCGGGAACGAGGTGAGTAAGACCTGTGATCGGCCAGCGCAGCGCGGGAACGAGGTGAGTAAGACCTGTGATCGGCCAGCGCAGCGCGGGAACGAGGCGAGTAAGACCTGTTGATGGGCCAGCGCAGCGCGGGAACGAGGCGAGTAAGACCTGTTGATGGGCCAGCGCAGCGCGGGAACGAGGCGAGTAAGACCTGTTGATGGGCCAGTGCAGCACGGGAACGAGGCGAGTAAGACCTGTTGATGGGCCAGCGCAGCGCGGGAACGAGGCGAGTAAGACCTGTTGATGGGCCAGCGCAGCGTGGGAACGAGGCGAGTAAGACCTGTTGATGGGCCAGCGCAGCGCGGGAACGAGGCGAGTAAGACCTGTTGATGGGCCAGCGCAGCGCGGGAACGAGGCGAGTAAGACCTGTTGATAGGCCAGCACAGCGCGGGAACGAGACGAGTAAGACCTGTTGATGGGCCAGTGCAGCGTGGGAACGAGGCGAGTAAGACCTGTTGATGGGCCAGCGCAGCACGGGAACGAGACGAGTAAGACCTGTTGATGGGCCAGCGCAGCGCGGGAACGAGGCGAGTAAGACCTGTTGATGGGCCAGCGCAGCGCGGGAACGAGACGAGTAAGACCTGTTGATGGGCCAGCGCAGCGCGCGAACGAGGTGAGTAAGACCTGTTGATGGGCCAGCGCAGCGCGGGAACGAGACGAGTAAGACCTGTTGATGGGCCAGTGCAGCGCGGGAACGAGGCGAGTAAGACCTGTTGATGGGCCAGCTACAAGGAACAATTACACCGACAGCTGTGATTTTTTTTCCTGTCAGGAAGAGAAAAAAAAAAGAATGGCAAGAAATGATAAGAATTCACTATGACCTTGGAGTCATACTGGACTGGAAACAAAAGCAGTGGCTGACTGAGAGTACTATCATTATGGGGAGCGCTAAACCCGTATGGATTATACAGTGCCTGTAGGGGGGGGAGAGAAGATCTTAGATATTCAAGCTCAATGCAAGGAACCGGAGCACAGATCCAATTCCCTAGATGAAGAGCCTCTCACCAGCGTCAAGGAACCTCCCTTGAGAGGATGGAGGGGGGTCTGGAACCGACTCAGAGCCACAGATATTAATTAAACACCAGAAAACAAAAAGCTTCCAGAACAACAACGAATAACATAACATTATTTATATTTGCAAACACACAAGGTCTTAAAAATAGTAACAACAAAATACCGTTTATTAGTGGATCCCTCAACGAATCAAATGCACTGTTTGTGGCTTTCACAGAGACGCATGTAAAAGATTATTTTGGCAATGAAATCAGGATCCGTGGATCCAGTCTGCTCAGATCCGACAGGAAACACAAACAACGGGGGTGGGGGGTGGGGGGTGGGGGTGGGGTGTGAGGGGGGTCTGTACGTCAAAGAGCCGCTCATCTGCACCGATTTACTCAACACTATAAAAGATGTAGTTCAAGTTTTAGCAGTAAAAAAAAAAGTTCAAATCATAATGAAGTTATTGAACTTGTCTATATAAGCCACCAAACACACCTTCCCAGCAGCTCAAACACCAATTATTGAAAATTGAATATTGTCCAGAAAATCTTTCAAATCCGGAACTAAATATTTAATTTTGTTACCTTGGAGTTTAAATTTACGACATCTAAAATTGAATTACGATGCCCATCCATTCCAATATCCGGAATGAAGGATAAGCTGAATGGCACTAGATGTAAGCTCCAGCCGTGTACTCACTTGATTTTTGGTACCAGTATCGTCGCCAACCTTTAGATCTTCTCAAGTTCCTTTTTATATGCTTTATAAGGCGCCGAGTACTCGAGGACGTAGCAATACGTTCACACAGATTCTTTCCTAAGGCTCCTAACGGGAATTCTGAAGTTTGCTAGTATTGCATATGATAATGAAATTATAAGATAGATATGGGAGCCTGGTCTAGGACCGGACCGCTGGGGCGGTGACCTCCGGAAGAGACTCTATGCTAACTCGAGATGATATGCTTTTTGTAATGCGTATTTCCACATCCTTCTTGCACGTTGCCTGCATTATCTCTCCTCCCATGTTGTAGTCCATGTCCGGTCTTCCAACCTGACGTAGTGTTATTACTTTAACAGAAGTCAAGTAGCAACGTTTCAGACCATGTTTGCAACCTGGTTATGTTACTTAAAGAGTTTTCCGTGTCCTCTTCGGTAGGTAATTTCCATATATCAGGAACGAGAGAGGAGAGAGAAAAAGTTTCTCTTCTTACACAATACTCAACAACCTGAGGTGAGATATCGTGAGATAACGAGCACAGAGAATATTGCAAAACATTGTGTTGGGAAGTTTTGTTCAATACTAGGATGCAACCAGTGACTGACCCACTCCACTACCCTCCTGTGATTTACTTCTGATTTACCCAATACTCACCATCCAAATGTAACCACACATTGTGACAGCACCCTCACCACACTGTGTAGCACCATCACCACACACTGTGACAGCACCATCACACACTGTGCAGCACCATCACCACACTGCAGCAGCATCACCACACCCTGTGACAGCACCCTCTCCACACTGTGCAGCACCATCACCTCACACTGTGACAGCACCATCACACACTGTGACAGCACCATCACACACTGTGCAGCACCATCACCTCACACTGTGACAGCACCATCACACACTGTGACAGCACCCTCACCACACTGTGTAGCACCATCACCACACACTGTGACAGCACCATCACACACTGTGCAGCACCATCACCACACTGCAGCAGCATCACCACACCCTGTGACAGCACCCTCTCCACACTGTGCAGCACCATCACCTCACACTGTGACAGCACCATCACACACTGTGACAGCACCATCACACACTGTGCAGCACCATCACCTCACACTGTGACAGCACCATCACACACTGTGACAGCACCATCACACACTGTGCAGCATCATCACCTCACTGTGACAGCACCATCACACACTGTGACAGCACCATCACACACTGTGCAGCACCATCACCTCACACTGTGACAGCACCATCACACACTGTGACAGCACCATCACACACTGTGCAGCATCATCACCTCACTGTGACAGCACCATCACACACTCTGACAGCACCATCACCACACACACTCCGTCAACCTTTGCTTTTAACAGATCAAAGAACGACATAACTTGCAAATATATACTCAAATACGCCACTATCAGTAACTATACGAGTAGGTGTGGGTTACCCAGCATGGGTCAGTATTCTCATGTTAGCTCTTCTAGAGTGAAGGTATAGACATTCGTATATCTAACAACTCTGGAGCTACACTCCATAAGATATACCTTACCTTTGATATACCTTTGAAGAATTTCGGGAGTATATCTACTCTCTGAGCCCGGCCATGGGCCAGGCTCGTATGAATGAGGAGTGAATTATCATACTGATGAAGACACACTTGAAGCAGCATATCTTTATGACACACAATTACTGTGGAGAGCTTTATAAAGCGCTCTTAAATAAATGTTTCGTCTACAAATCTACGCCAAGCGTCCATGTATAATACTTGTCGACAATACCTGTCACCACTTAATAAACGCACAGCTACCGTCTACAACATTGGTATGGAGTACACAATAAACAAAACGCTTTAACGGCTAAAAAAAATGATTAATATATGTTGTAAAAGTACAAATAACATTGCTGACTTTTCCTGATGGAGGATGTCAACACCACAACACTGAGAGGTTACTCACCCACAGGAGTCGCTTCTCCCTCTGTCAGTCGTATCACAATTTCACTCTGGCCATTCAGCACGAATCTTGGCGGGGTGTTGGCTGCCACCGGCGGCAGCAGCGGCCCCGCCAGCGCCGCCAGCAGCAGCAGCAGAGTCGCCAGCCACGCCTCCTGCAGAAGCGACCACTGGCGTCTGAAGGCGAGGGTGTGGCGGGTTCTGACCCGCCGGTGCGGTATAACGTGCTCAGTGATGGAGCCTGTGCCTCGCTTTTCTGATATATGAGTATCTTCATTTTTGATAAAGTGCTCGTAGGGTTGTGAAGTAGCGTAGCAAGGTACTCTTAAGTAGTTCACTTCTCGCACTGGTGATGCAGAGAGCATCCTTATTGCACTAGGTCTGTGGTAGCTCCAGTCTCTACTTTCCTCAACACATTCTTCACCCATGTCTTCACTTATCACGGAGTCTGGTATCGCATGGAGGATGTGCCTTACACCGTCCTCGACTCCACACGACGCATCTGCACATCCTTGCCGACGTACACAACAATGTCGTCCTCGAGCGAACATCTTGCCAACCAACACTTTTTTCGTAGTCTTAAGAAAGAACGTATCTCATTGAGAGGATGATAACTGCACATCGCGACATTGTGGGCGCAGTGTGCAAGATACAGATCTGACTAATGTCACGTGGAGTGACAGCATGACGTGCCCTCACTCTCCCCACCTCTACTCTCACTCACTTTCTCTCCCACGCATCACTGACGGCCATCATCCCGCAGAGACAAGTGCTCGCAACATAACAATCTAGACAGAGAAACTGGCGCCTTCACTACATATAAACACACCCTTTCTTCAGTGCGTGCACCACCTTCTTCCTTAAGTTCCCCAGATGAGCGGGAATGTCAGGTGCAGGCCCGGATGTTGGTGCCCGGGGTCGTGACACGCTTCCAGCAATACTCGAGATGATGTTCTTCTGGTTTCCAGGCCTTGACCAGATTCCTTCAGGGAGTTCCAGGCAGGTCACGCGGCCGCCCAGGCACAAAGGGCTTTGGAATGAAACAATTGTGCCTTACTGACTGTGCCGTCTCAGGGCCGCCCACAGTGCCTGCCACGAGTGCCAGCTGCTCCAACTACTGCGCCTGATTCACACCTGAAGAGAAGACAAAAACAAAGTTGTTATTCTGAAGGAGGAAGGTGAGGGAGGCCGGGACTGATGGCTTACATGTGTAGTGAGCTGCCACTCATACATTAGTCAATACCAAGCACAGTACATTAGCAAACACAACACATAACACACATTCCAAATATACCACATGAAAACTAAAAGTTCTTAAATGCTCTTTCAAAAAAATAACTAAATACTGGAGAGGTCTCTGAGATGTACACCATACACCTCTCGTCTTGTCTTGTGACTCATTATGTGTCTCACTGCTTACACTTCAGTCATTATCCTCATATATTTTCATTATTTTAAACTATACTTTTAAATTAATGTATGTACACACACACACACACACACACACACACACACACACACACACACACACACACACACACACACACACACACACACACATATATATATATATATATATATATATTTATATATATATATATATATATATAATATATATATATATATATATATATATATATATTTTATTATTATCACACTGGCCGATTCCCACCAAGGCAGGGTGGCCCGAAAAAGAAAAACTTTCACCATCATTCACTCCATCACTGTCTTGCCAGAAGAGTGCTTTACACTACAGTTTTTAAACTGCAACATTAACACCCCTCCTTCAGAGTGCAGGCACTGTACTTCCCATATATATATATATATATATATATATATATATATATATATATATATATATATATATATATATATATATATATATATATAATCACATGCATATCAGGAGCCATGTAGTAATGAGAGACATAGCAGAGCCTTGTCACGGGAGTAACCGGGTCCAACACATGCCATGACCACCTAGGGGAAAAATTGATTAGGAAATATTCCATGATAACAGTGAGTGTTCCTTCGTCAAACACTGACTCGTCAAGCTGAACCAACATCAGGAAAAATATGACACGGTATACACACATGATAAAATTAACAGAGAATATAAATACTGTAATATATGCTTCAAGAATACTGGAAATATATATATATATATATATATATATATATATATATATATATATATATATATATATATATATATATATATATATATATATATATATATATATAATTTTGTGTACATACAGCTACATACCTACTTTCATGTTGTATAAGTCTTAATATGATGTACACACACACACGTTTACCTGAACCATAAGTCATGCCCAAAGCATAAAGACATAATAATAAAAATAATAATAATAATAATAAGAAGAAGAAGAAGAAGAAGATGGGAAAGCTTTCTTGGGATTAATATTATCCTACATATATTTAACATTAAAATGGTATAAAATACCGACAGGTTGTTAGGTATTTTATACCATTTTAATGTTCAATCTGTCAGACACTGCAACACAAGGGTATCTTGGTACAGACCTGCAATTACCTAACTACATATATTTAATTAAGTGAAGCTGATGAGGAATATTTGTTGATGAGAGCAACGGTGAGAACAAGTGAAGTACACAAGCAGCCCTGCAGACTACATGTTGGTAAACAAACTTGCCAGGTAGAGTGCCTGACGGCTACAACGAGAGTACTGTCAAAAAACCACTGGCAATGTTCAAAATATATAGACTGAACTCACAAAAGAAGATAGAATATGGCGACTATAAGCTTTACTCTTGCGACTACCACAAGCTTATGATGCTCACATTCTTCATGGTAGGTGCCTTGATGCTGCCGAAGGGCTCTTGATTCGACAAACTGGAGCTACTCTCCACCTCAGATGAAACCTGATTACCTCCCATTTCACAGATGATGTATGGCTTACGAGTTAGAACACTCCAGTGAATATAATAATATTTCTGTAATTACAAAATAATAATTACACTCACACAGATGAGACAAAGAGTAACAATGACGGTGGAGTATGTGGGCATGAATAACACATGGGGTCCCTCAAGGATCAGTACTAAGGGCCACTGCTGCTCCTAATATACTTAAATATTTACCCACAAGTGGTCAATTAATACCTGTACCGCTTTGTTGATGACGCATAACTGATGATAAATATAAAAAAAATTAATCAGGAACAAACTAAAGGAAAAGTGGAACAAGTAGCTACCGGAAGTGAACCAAACAAATATAAGATATGACAATTGGTAAGGTAAAATAATGAAACAAAACGAAGTAGAGACTATGAAGTTATTTTATACAAACTTTGATAATACTTCCTTTAGCACTGGTCACAGTCCTTCCATCACTGTGTTCTCTACTCCACCCTTGCTACTCCATGATCCAGCACCCCTCAAGGGAGGTTCCTTGACGCTGGTGAGGGGCTCTTGATCTAGGGAATTGGATCTGTGATCCGGTTCTCTGAATTGAGCCTGAATACCTTCCATCCCCCCGCATGCACTGTATAATCCTACGGGTTTAGCACTCCCCATGATTATAATTATAATTATGATCCAGTAACACCCCTGCAGCGTTGTATGACCTTAGTGGGTTTAGCGCCTGGTTTTGATTATAATGATAATTATGAAGTTATTACGAAAACGACACATTGAGAAACAAAAAAAAAATGTATAACCTGGACGGCACATGTGACATTAAGACATCTGGTAAAACCATTCAGGAACTTGAAACAACGAATCCTTCAAAACACTCTATATGACGTAGGTAAAGTTTATCACGCAGCTCCAGTCCAGAGTCCATACTAAGGAAGAAGAAGCAAGAGAAAAGAATAATGAGGAGATATTAGAGGAATGTGATATAAATAGTTTAGAAAACTGACAAGTTGAAAAATTAGACACTTTTGCAACAATTAGGAATCTTTATGTGAGTTGTTTTATTCTAGAATGTTGTACAAGTGTCCAAGTCTTTATATTAGAGACCCCTCAAGGAAGGCTCCTTGACGCTGGTGAGGGGCTCTTGATCTAGGGAATTGGATCTGTGCTCCAGTTCCCTGAATTAAGCCTGAATGCCTTCCATCCCCCCATAGGCGCTGTATAATCCTACGGGTTTAGTGCTTCCCCCTTGATTATAATAATAATAATAATTTATATTAGAGAAAGTTAATGTGACAGTCGTGGAGCAGAGTAAGTTAGAAGAAGATAAAGTTAGTCTTAACCTGACTTCTTAAAGGGAACAAAGTGATATACTATTTAAGAGGCAGTGACAAGGATTAGATTTTGCCACCTAAGTGGCTAGTTTATTGTGTACCTCATACCCATCCTGTGGATGGTAGCGCAAGAGCACATGGATACATAAAAGACCTAGCAAATAGGCCCCAAAAGGATTTACAGAAATACATCTGGATTTATATCTACAGTTCACTTATCTGTTACAAGCAAATTTAGGAAATTTGCTTAATATATCTGGTATCTTATTTTCATTAATGAGATAACTTGATAAGCCACATAGGTTATTATACTGTCTATCTCTATAATCCTCAATAAATAGACAATTAAGCAGGTGGTTGGAAAATTAAATCACCTAGCTGCTGGAGACAAGCTCCACACGCAGCTACAAGATCAGGTACAACAGTTCTCACAAGGCCAGAAGCTAGTGAATGTGGATGAAGGGACATCAAGAGGCGGAGTCCACAGCACAACTTAGTGTGTTAAATTACACACAAGAAAAACACTAGACCCAGAGACAATGTACGAAAAATAAAGCATTGATGAACGCCTCTCTCTCTCTCTCGTAAACACACACACACACACACACACACACACACACACACACACACACACACACACACACACACACACACACACACACACACACAGGAAAGAAAGGCCTCCCCAGGAAGCATGTGAATTAAGTGATGATGATGGCGGAGGTGAGGGAGCGTAATAACTAAGGGGATGGTAAGTTATCCGTAAG